TTGACTAGTCTGTTTGCTCCACTTACTATGAGCTGTAAGTCGTCTGCATAGCAGAGGAGCTTGGCTGTTTGTCTGAAAGGAAGTCTGACTAGATTTTCCATCAAGACATTGAACAGCATTGGACTGAGGATGCCTCCTTGTGGGCTTCCGTTTTCGTGGACCCTGTAACTTGACGTTGCCCCCGGAAAGCGTACCCTTGCTTCTCTCTGTGTATCTACCCCAGCAACCTTCCTTTGACGCCTTTTTCGGCTAGCGTCGTTATAATGGCCAGTGAGTTTGCTAGTTCAAAGGCCTTCTCCAAGTCGAGGAAGACCATCAAAGCTGGTTTATTGTCCACTGTGCTGAGTATCTCGGCAATGTTGTTGCTTGTGTCGGTGTTCTCGGTGTAAGCAAAAATGTGAGGGTGTGGGCTGCCGACTTTCCACTTGAGTCTGTTGAGAGCCATTCTTTCTCCCGTCTTCGCTATGCAGCTGAGAAGGGAGATGGGCCTTGGTTTGTCTGGTTCTCTGGGCTTCGGAATAGGCTGTATATCTGCCTTCTTCCACTCCGGTGGAGGTCTCTGTGCTATCCACGAACCATTGATGACTTGTAGCAAAGCCTCGTGCCTGGCTTCTCCGCCATGGGAAAGCATGGAGTAGGTTATCCTGTCGGCCCCTGGTGTTGTGTCCTTGCTTCGTTTTATCGACTTCTGGAGTTCTTGCTGGTTGAATGGTCTGTCGGTGTCATCTTCAATATTGCAGGCCTCCTCGATCATCTGGAGTCTGGTTTGTCTCAGACGCCTTTGTGTTTCCTCCGTATGTCTTGGGAGTTTTTTCGTTGCTGCTCGGTCAGAGAACAGTTTTGCAAGTCTCTCGGCTTCCTCTTCTGGGTTGGGATGGGTTGGTGGTGGTGGTGTTGCCTTCCCAGGTGCCCTTCAGGTCTGGGCTCACATTTTGCCGAGGGAGGTGTGCTCATTCAGTTCGGAGCACAACTTGAGCCAGCTTGCACTTTTGATTTCTTGCTTCTCTTCCCTGGTATCCTTGACTATGTTTGCAGGAGATGTCTGTTTGTGTCCGTGTGATGTCTTCTATAGTTTCTTCACCCTAGGACAGTAGTACCAGTAATCCTTGTACTGTCTTGATGTAGGTTTTGTTTTTGGAAGAGCCTCTTCTGCCGCTTGGTGAAACGCCTCGATCAACTGTTGGTGGAGGGTTGTCTCGTCCACGGGTGCTGCACCAGCCGGCTGTGATTTGGCGCACCATTTAGCCAGGTGTTTCCTATTGAGTTCCCAGTCCGCCTTTTGGGTATTGTATCTCCATCTCGGCGGGGATGGAGTGGGGAGTTTGTTCACCTTCAGTGTTGTTAGGGTGGCAGTGGTCGCTGGTCAGCGTGGGGTGTAGCTGCCAGGAGGCCGAAGGCTGTAGTGCACTGGAAACGAAGGTTAGATCTAGCCTTCCTCCCCTAATGTGGGTGGGCTCTCCGGTGTTTAGGAGGGCGATCTCGGGTGTGTCTTGAAAGGTGGTGTATAGGTGTAGGCCGTCTTCATTTGTGGGCCTTACCGAGCTTAGGAATGGATGATGTGCATTGAAATCCCCTCCTATGAGTGTGGCGTGGTCAACGGCCGAAACGAATTATTGAGTCACCTCCAGTGAGCCCCTTGGGTTCTTGTAGATGTTGTGGACAGTTATTTCCCGTTCTTGGAGGGTTACTTTGACGGCCTGTGTCTCAATGTTTTCCCCACATGGCAAATGCTGCATGACCTCGGAGGAGGGTATGCTCGACTTGACCAAGATCATACATCCTCTTGTCGACGCCTGCGTGAAATGTCTCCCGAATGTCTTGTAGCCGCTGAATTTGAAACAGTGGTGTTCTTGTAGGAGTGTTTCTTGTAGCAGTATAATGTCACGCTTGTCCTCGAATCGAATCGATGGGTGAAGTAAAGTGTGAAGAGATCTTGATGCTGGTGTGTAGATTGGTGGTACGGGAACTGGACTTGAAGAATGATGGTGGAGTTTGGAGGGACTTGGGGTTGGTGGATAGTGCAAGAAGAAAGGCGAGGAAATTGGAAAGTAGTAGTAGGGTGCTTGGTCTTGGGGCTCAACCCAAGTGCTTCTGTTTTGTCATGTTTGTGTTTCAGTTAATTTTCGTCTTAGGTGTTATATTTATTTTAGGTGTTTGTATGTTTACCAGGTGTTGCAATTTTATGCCTTACATTTTCAGGTCTTGTCTCCTAGCCAATTGTGGGGAGTCTTATAATAATAATATTATTATTATTATTATTATTATTATTATTATATTATTATTATTAATAATAATAATAATAATAATAATAATAATAATAATAATAATAATAATAATAATAATAATAATAATTAACGGCTTATTGAAAAAGTTCTGCAGCCCGAAGGCTAAAAATATACATTGGACATAAATGACTTATTACATACGTTGGTGGTTTAACAAAAGCCTTCATTAGAGAAAGGTAAAGGAACATACAGATTAATGTAGGTGTTGAACAGCAAACACGAAGTGTAGTAACTGCCTCCCAGATGGTGTTAGAAGGGACCTCACGTGGTGTAGTAGTTCCCTCACAGATGGTGTTCTGAGGGACCTCACGTGGTGTAGTAATTCCCTCACAGATGGTGTTATGAGGGGCCTGACGTGGTGTAGTAATTCCCGCATAGATGGTGTTATATGAGTGAGGTGTGGTCCCAGGCCTTCCTATCGTAGACGGATTAACACATCGCTGGTTGTTGTTGGGTCTCACGGGCAGTTATCACTGGGTACCTGGGACCTCACTGTGTATCGGTTAACTTGGGTACGTACGACTTGGCTGTTACTGTTGAGTTGTTCTCTTGACTAGAGCACTGTTCACCACTGTTCATCTCTGTTCAACACTGGTTCCATTCCTTTCCTAAATGAAATTGTAACTTCTGGCGAGAACTTGTTGATATTCCGGTGGGGGGATGGTTCAGGGGAGGGAGTTGGTATGGGCCAACTTAACAGTTGACATGGCTGCTCCCAGAGGATCGCCAGGTGCGTCTTGACCCTTCGGTGGTCAAGGATGTAGGGCAGTATTCGTGTTTCTGCTAAGAACATCCCGTCTTTTTATGATCTAATGTTGTCACTGAGGTAACGTTGCATTCTTTCATTAGAGTGGAGTTGGTGTGGGTTCGAGGGCTCTTCTTTTACTGCGAGGGAACCACGTGTGTTCTCTTCTTCCCTCTTCTATCTTTTCTATCTCTTCCTTGGCGAGGAGGGGGATATTTATATCTTTCTGCCGGATCAAAAGTTAAAGAGGAAAGATGAGATACGCTGCTGATTGGCTGAGGTGAAGGCGCCGATTGGCCAATCACGGCACAGTTCGAACACGAGGGCTGATTTGTGGAACTCGCCGCTGGTTGGCTGGGAAGCAGACAGTAAGTGACCAATCAGCAGTTGTGGGGGAGATTATCCACTACAGTATCACTCCATTTTCTACTTTTTTAACTATTTTTTTCTTTTTATTCAATATAATACTCTTCCACCCAATTTTAAAGTTGTTTAAAAAATCTATTGTGCAATGCTTCCTACATGACCGCAAGCAGTATGTGGTGATTAATGTCACGAAATCATCATCTGTACCTGTCACAAGCGGGGTACCACAGGGCAGTGTATTGGGCCCACTGTTGTTTGTTTGTTTCATAAATGACATGCCTGACGTTGTACACTCCTCCATACAAATGTTTGCCGATGACTCCAAGTTATTTCGGGAAATCAAGAACCAAGCGGACTGTGAAGAACTGCAGAAGGATCTCTGTGGGCTCCAAGAATGGTCGAAGAAATGGCTGCATGAGATTCAATGTCACGAAGTGTAAGGGGAAGCACCTGGGGCGTATCAACGGTAAGGAGGCGTATCATATGTCCCAACGGGATAAAGAAACTGCACTATTTGAGACTGAATGTAGGAAGGATCCTAGGTGTGTATGTTGACAATGAGCTGAAGTTCTCGGGCCATTGCGAGAAGAAGGTAAATCAGGCAAATAAATTATTGGGTCTTATAAGAAGGTCGTTAAGATATCTAGACGGACCGTCTAGATATCTTAACGATCTTCAAGAGTGAAGTGCTTCCCCATCTGGAGTACTGTCACCCGGTCTGGTTCCCGAGATATGCTAGGGACTGTAAGTTGGTTGAAAATGTTCAAAGGAGGGCCACTAGACTTCGGCACCTCAGCTACCCTGAGAGATTGAAACGCCTGAACTTGCCTAGCTTATACTACAGACGGGCAAAGGGTGACCTAATTGAGGTGTATAAGCATCTCAAGGGGCACTACTCAGTCGAGTGTCCTTACTTGGAGCTGGCGGACGCTCGCCCCTCAAGGGGTCACAGCTCAAGATTGAAGAAGCCGCAAGTCCAGAAAAATGTGAAGGCAAACTTTTTCGGAGTGAAAGTTGTAAACTCTTGGAACAATCTACCAGAAAGTGTTGTGATGGCACCGAGTGTGAGCTCTTTCAAGACAAAACTTGACCAACACTGGAGCGGGTTCAGGTACATTCAGGAGCCGGTGCA